TTCCTCAATGTCAGTGTGCCAAAAGTGGGCCCAATGGCTAGCTGGGATCGGGTGCCTTCTCTTGTTCGCATCATTATTGTTGTGCCTCGACAAAGCCTCGCCATGCTTGACCAAATCTGCGAGTCCGTTCCGACTCCCCTCTTACAGTGCGAATTCAGAGGCACCGGTAGAAGAACGCTCGATATCTTTTCATCTGTGCACGCTGCGTTCGGTACCGTAATTTCAACTGGCACTCCAGCACGCCCGAGTGTGTTATTCAACGAGGACCCCCTTGGCCAGAAGGGTACTTCACCTCTAGTCGCATCATTCGTTGTTGTGGCGAGCCTCTTGACCGTGGACTCTGTCGACAAGATAGAGGTTTCGTTTGCCATGCGAAGCACAGCAGGTGTCTCGTGGGCGCTCACTCAAAAATTTGGCTCCGAGTTTCGTTTGTTTAGTGCGAAACTGATGGACAGAGATCATGTTTATGTTCTACCTGAACATCCGTTGCCAACAGCTGCCCCGGGCTGGCAGCCACCAGCTGCCAACACCGGTCAACATACCACTGCCATGTTTCAACTCGGAACTGAAGGTCCATTGCTAGTCGAAATGGACGAAGAGTGCGAGCTCGTGTCTCGCCTGAATTTCCGAATCGCTATTGAAAACCAGCGAGCAAAGCAGCTGTTTAGTTCGGGATGCAAGCCAGGAATATCACAGAAATCCGCTTGCGTGATGCAGCTTACCATCGGGAACAAAATTCAGGACATTGCCTTTCCTTTCCCGGTGGTGGGCAGTCAAAATGTCCTTCGTCTCGCCAGAAAATCTCTGTACATCGAGGTAAGCCCACAAGATGTCCAACCGACTTCCTGCCATTGATTGCGGTATCAGGTCATTGTTCCAATATCTGGTCCGTTTCGCTCTGATGGGATGAAGCTCAACCCTTTCCAAGTCATCGGGGAGGACCTTTCCTTTGCACCCTGGAGTTTACACCGTCTCAACTTGTCTCGCTCACCCATACTTGATACCGCGGCCTCGGATATAAAAGAATGGCTCAAACCCCACCTTGCTTGGATGCTTTCAGCTCGCGAGCGCAAGTTGACAAAAACGCATGAAAACGATCCCCTTGCATTGGTCAAAGACACAATACATACAATCTTTCATCAGGCATCAGGAATCAGTGGCGGACCGTTGCGAAGGGTGTTTGCTCTACGGGACAAGCCTTCCGCCGAGTGCGACACCATCATATTCATCAGCGCCGTCCGCTTTGATTTGTCCGCCCACACCTTGGTCTGCGACGCATACGTTCTGCCCCTCACGCCTGCGCTCATGTCGAAAGTAGGCGCCGAGTTCGGAAATTTAGTCCGAGAGGGCAATATTTTCAATGTGGGCGTCTATGGAGACGAGATGAAGGCCTGGAAACAGCTTCTCCCATCCTTCGTGGAGCGATGCCGGTCATGGAAGCACACAAGCAATTGTGAGTATGGGACTCAAAAAAAAGTTCCGCTCAGCGTGGAGATGCACCTCGATCCTCTTTGCAGTTGTGGTCGGGCCAAGGACGTGGAGGGTATGAGGAAGCAGAAGTTGTGGAGTCCGTTTGCCCAATCAGTGACCAGAATTGCAATTGCGCCGCTTTTTGCGCTGTCGTATCTGGAACCCGTCGTTCGGGACCCTAATGCTGGAAGGTGCTCTGTTTGTCGAGGGAGGGGGAAACCGAAAATGAAGAGGTGTGCGAAATGCGAGAGGGTGCGATATTGTTCTCCAGGATGCCAGAGAAAGGACTGGACGGCCCACAAACTAAAATGCAAGCCCGTCTAGTTCTAGCTCCACGGACTCCGATACCAATCTGTATTGAGCCTGTATAGCTAGTAGCTGCTTGAGATAACATGTTGTGAAGCGGTGTGAGATCTAGAGAGACGGGAGGGCTTGGCGCGCATATTTCTAATTTTTTATCTCTTGGTAAGATATTGTATTCGATAACTTCGCTTGGAGAATGCCACTACTAGATGGTATCGCCGTTTCAAAGAAGACTGGGTCTTGGAATTAGCTTGAAGGGTCGACGACTTGAGGTGGGTCTTGGAGTTAGCTACGACTCGAGGTCGACGCCGTGGGTCGCGGTCGAGAAGGAAAGCGGACCGGTGAAATTTCAAATCACCGAGATCTCTGTGAGGACGAAAAAAAATTCAGCGGTCTCCATCGTCTCTACATTGCACGGAATCGGCACGTTCAAAGGTATCTTCTTACGCCGAGCATCTTGTTCGGCCTTCTTTGCTTCTACCATCGTCTGCACGCATCCGACATTGTAGCTCCAAAATTAATCCAAATCTTGCAGACTCGAAGTCTTCAAGCTATATCCGACTTTATCACTGTTGCGCAAAACAAGCTGCGCAGAGGGAGGCTCAATTCTCGTTGATTTACGCCTCTCTACTAAGATCTACTTTTTGAAGTCGTTGTGAATGCAGAGGACTGCAGGACAACTCAGCCTTTTTCAAATTTTGGCGACTTTGCCTGTCTTCCCAGGACATGGGATACACCTCAAATGCGAACCTCCTGGTTACCTTTCGCCCACGAATTTCCCGTCCCAGGCGGCAGGATACCATCACGTCCGTACGACAATGTACCACATCCTCTGCAGCCTCGCTTCCTTGCCAGCGCACTCATCTTGCACATCGTCATCTTAAATCCTTGGCCGATGTTTGCTATCTCAGGCTCAAGCTTCACCTCGGTTCGCGGCAACAACCATATTCGTGGTCCCGGCACTTCTTCCATGCATCCGGAGACTCTTTCGCTGGGTTTCAACAAAAGCCTCATCCTTGAACTGGCTAAATCCGGCTCCATACAGGGCCGTGGCTGTCACTGGCTACATACGCGCTTATGTCTTTCGTACACTTTGTACATTGGAATGCTCGGCATGACACGGTGCCATCGATATCCCGTCGCCTCCAACTCTGACGGCTCACGGTCCTTGCTGCTAGATCTCAAGCTTTTCCACCTGCTCGTTTGGTTGCTTTACCGACAGCAAGTATGCCTAAATCGGTCGAACAGTGTCGCTGCGGGTAGTGTCTGGTCTCTATTTAATTGTGTTGGATTTTCTTTTTCGTAATCCATCATTATCCAAGAAAATCCTGAGGTGCAAGAACTGCACGTCCAGTTGAAATCCAAATCAGCAGTGAGTTTGGAATTAATTCTCGGATTTGGGAGGCGAGTCTTCCCGTTTCAACATACTTGTATATCATCTCGGGCCACCGCGCCACTGACCACTCCAGATCTGGACATGGTGGCTTCATTGTGTGCTGATTTGGGACGACGGCTCATTGCTCGTTCTTTGTGGCTTTGTGAGTCTCCTGTTCCATTGCTTTGACCGCTTTGTGAGTCAAAACTAACGGTGTCTTCTTCTCTTCAGCGTCCACTGCTTTGGCGCGTGCGTTTGTGACGCACCTCGTCAAACTCATCGTACACCTCGTGGTCTGCCGCGGGCACCTGCACCTCACGATGACCCGGGTGGATTTGAGAGGTGTGTTTTGCATTGCGTCTTGATGCTGACCACTTTTAGTGGTGTCCACCATCCCCCGTACACGCTCGCCCTCGGGGACGCAGCGGACGCACTCGCATAACGACATGCATCGGTTCAGCCACGCAGCGAGCGACTCGACGCCCCTGCTTGCCTCCTCTCCCGCCTCTTTTCACGCGGGCTTGAGCCTCGATGAACATGCGCGTTCGTCGTCCTTGGCGATGCGCTTGGCAACGTTGCGTTCGATATCCCTCTGGTTAATATTTATCTACGTTAACGCAAAGTCACCCACTATGTACCGCAAACAATCCAATCTCTATCGGTTCACGGCGTTGAGCGACTCGTAATATTGTTTGCGATTGATTCGGAAGTCGACGGTGACAATACGTCAACCTTCTGAGTAAGCACAAATTCGCGCCCGAGGAGCCACATCTACGCAGTGTTCGCCCTAAGGCTTAAGGCCTTAGGGGTCTTAACCCTTATTAAGGCCTTAAGCTAAGCCTTAAGGATTCTCAGGAAATTTTGGGGCCTTAATTAAGGCCTTAACCCTCTCGCCCGAGATGGCCGAGCACGGTCAGAGCCCCCAATGGACGCATGTTCAAACGGAAAATGACAGACACCAAGCATAGTATGAGCCAAACGGGTAGATGCGTCTATATAGTGGCCAGAATTAAGCTCAAAATTTGCTCAGCGGCTGGGTCCCCCGCCTTACTGACCGTGGGAAATTGTCGCTTAAGGCCTTAGCTGAAGGCCTTAACGTTAAGCCTTAACCCTTAATAAGGCTTAACGATTTTCAAAACCTCAATTAAGGCCTTAAGGGCGAACACTGCATCTACGGCCTCGCCGTAGAAAGTTCTGCAGAGAAAAATGCCTCTCTGATAGGCTTATTGCCGTCCCTGCTGGTTTCAGAGGCCGAAGAGGTCTGCCCCGCCCTGAGGGGATCTAACTCAGTTCTTTCAACATCGGCTTGTGACGCTTGTGACGCTCTTGACGTTGCCGGAGCGCGGGCCGTGTCGCCCCGGAGGCTTGAAATCCTTCCCATCCTTGGGTCGGATTCGCTACTAGGCTCAACTCCAAAGGTCATCCTTCCCGGGGATCCTTGGGTTGGATTTGGTTATCAAACGTGCTCAGAGATGGGAACAGATCCAAGGTAACTATTCATTTTCAGACATACTTACTTGGTGGAATTCCTTCCCAGTTTGGAGTTGGATTCAGTGCCCTGCCTGGTCACTGAAAGTTTATTGCCATCCTTGGTACGATCCCTTTTATCTATAGTTTATCCATCCAACCCAAGGATCCTTGGGTTGGATTTACAAGGCCTCCCGGTCCTTCCCAAGGATCCTTGGGTTGGTTTGCACGGTGCTCTTCCCTTGACTGATTTTTCCCAAGGATCCGTGGGTCAGAGTTGGAGTTGTTGGACTACTTATCGTTCCCAGGCTTGGGTCACACTGCGAGCACCATCTCGCTGAGCCTGATCTGTCCCAGGGATTCTTTAATCTGTCCAACGATCACCGCCCACTTGGCTAAGTGGTTTACAGCGCGGCACTTGTACATACACTGCAATGCCGAGATCACTCGTTCAACTCGGGTAGTGGGCATATCTTTTTGATTAGCCAGAAAAATTTAGCCATGCTGTAACCTATCGAGACCGACCTGAGCCGATCTGCTGAATGCAGACTTGAGCTAAGTGGTTACAGCGCTATTCATAAGTATGCGGAAAACGTAAAATTTTCCTAGGCTGTTGGGTTTTATTTGTACCGGGCGCCTAAATCTTATACGATGTGCTCTCTACCTCTTCCCCCGTTGTATGGTCTTGATTTTGCCTCCAGACCTCGGGCGTTATCATATACCAACTACGCTCACCGATCGCGACCGCCCGTGTCGCTCCCATGTCCAACTTCGAGCACATGTAGTGCTATGTACAAACTCGACGCTCGTATCTTCCTCTTTGCTACTGGCGACACTCTACCAGCCTCATATTACCTTCCAAGCCTCCAATGGTCCAGACAAACGACTTAATTAGGATTTCGGGGGTCGTCGTGCTTCGTATGCGCCTGGCTACGCCAACATGACGAGCCAGCGATGGTGTAAAGAGCCGCCTGGTACACCGAGAGGGAGGGAACAAGGAGGGAAGCATTCTTTGACAGTATTGGATGACTTTGGATGAGTTGGAAGGCCAAAGTGAGTGCTTCCAACATATGAACGGTCCAAATCGCCACTTTTCTCGTCAATGAGCTGTTTTACCGCCTTCATGCTCTCGCTCTCCTAGCTACATGTTTCCGAAGTCGTACAATGACAATACATTCATATTTCAACCATATTTGCTCGAAGCAACGACCTCTCACCCAGAGAAAGTGCCTGAGGAGGCAAGATCAGAATTGGTCAGGGGCATGTAAACAAAACCCAACAGCCTGGGAAATTTTTACGTTTTCCGCATACTTATGAATGGCGTGGCACTTGTATTTAATACGATATGCCAAGATCGCTCGTTCGATTCGGGTAGTGGGCACTTCTTTTTGTCCGTTCCACGATTTTTGCTGGGTACCGCTCAGTCACATACACCGTACGCATCGTAACGCAAGCTCACTGACTTCATCGCCGGGGCGCTTCGCGCCCCGGCACCTGCCCCGACCACGTCCCATGCACCTTTCCATCGGTCATCACAACATCCGGTTTCGCCCCAGCGCAATTGATAAAGTATTCCCAAATCCTAACGGCAAAAACAAGGAATCCTGGAACCGCAAACTGGCAGCAGCAGCACACGAATTCAAAAGGTACTCGTTGGTGAGGCAGAAGAGTTCATGTATGATACAGCTCCGGAAGCTTGAGAGCAAGTCTAAACAGATTCCTTGCGAAGTAGTGCCAAGGTGTGGGCGGACGGCGGTTCAGCCAGGTCCAGCAGAAAGGCGGCCGAACATCAAAATAGAGACAGCCCGATATTGGTGGACACCCAGAATAGGCACAGACGGGACCTGACCGACGTTATCCCAGTGCGCACTGCGATACTTATACAATGAGGAGTCGTTGCCTGAGGACGTCGGTCCTTCACGACTGAAGAATGTGTATAGTGCTTGCCCCTCGCTACACAGGCCTCACATTACTAAACCAAAACTCCTTCAAGAACACTGGGAGACAACAGCGCATGTCCCCGTTCGACGCGATGAGATCCAGGTAGCAAGAAACATATTTACAAAGTTGCATTGATTAGGAGAGACGAAAGCAGTTTATGATTGCCAGGTTAGATAGCATCGTTCTCGACAAGCTTTCCACAGACAATGTACTTGCTAGAAAAGTGCTCGATCCAGCCTGGACGAAGGGAATGAGGCTGTCAGAGCTTAGGGGATACGTAAGAAACAGACCTCTCATGTTATCTCTGGTAAACAAACAAGCCATTAGCTGGGGAAACGGCGAGGAACAAAGGAGCCACATACATCTCGTCCTGCTGGAGGTCGGCGAGCTTATCAAGAGGCTGGTCGACCGGGGTCAGCATTTCTGGACAGCCGGGTGAGCTGGCACGGATTTAATGAACAGGAATTCTGGTACCCAGGTCAAAAGACTGTTTAGCCATGCCCCGGGATGCATCTCTTCCTGCAAAGTTTCCGTACATTCCGTCTGCAGCCGGTGAACAAAGGTTTCAACGAAGTAACACAAGAGACGTACTAGGTCCGTAGAAATTCCTCCCCGCAGTAACATCGAAAACAATGCCATTGATAGCCAGCAAGATGCGCCCTCCATCCTTGCCCGAGAACGGTTCCAGAGTCTTGGCCGTGTACGTCTTGAACAAGACGGTGGGCGGGTGCGATTTGGGCATCCATGAGTAACCTGCTTTGAATTCCCGAGGGACAGTAGCGGGCTTGGAGACACTTGGGTAGATAATGCGCTGCACAGAGTACAGGATAAAGAGGAACAGAGCCGTGTTCACGGGCGTTCCGAGCTGCAGTGTAAAGGCCATTAGAAAGCGCGTCACAGCCTGTGACCTCGATTCACCGCCTCCTCCTCTTCCCCGCAACATCCATCGCCTCATTCTCTCTGGCACTACGGTATTCTCCGATGATAGTACTGAGTATGTATCACCGTTGTTCCCGAGCATTCGTCCTCATTTCCTCCAGATTCCCAAGACGGTAGCACAAGTAGCAGTGGTCAGAGTCAGGCTTCTGAACAACTACCAGAGTATACCAGTATAATTTCTTCCGCCGCGGCCGTAATTTTCCTGCTGATCGGCGTCCTAGCTATGTAACCTCAAATCGGTCCCAACCCCCGCGCTATTCGCGTCTGCGAAGACCAAAGAATCCACTCAGCTACACTTTTACACCTCCTCCCTTGGCCATTGATTCAAACTCGATGCTATTGGTTCCGCCACGAGATGCGGAAGACCAGGGGGAATACCGAATAACGGTATCTCTGAACCTCAACCCCTTTGTTCCAATTTCGTACAGCACGTCGGTGCATCGCGTAGAGGGTGACCGAGAGCTGTTTATCGGGGACTTTGAGTACGTGATCTCCTTGCAAAGCAACCAGTGTGTTGTGTCTGACCGCTCCTTCTAGGCTTTCATTAAACCACCGTCGTGCCATTATAACTATCGGCGATATAACGACGCGCCTCTCAAATGTCCTGTTTAGCATAAACTCCTCTCTAGTTCGTGTTTGTCTCTTCCCTCTCCATTGGGACTTATATATTGTGCCCCATAGAGGCACTGGACTTGGCGGTGGGATGAGGTCGGCTTGCGGTGGGATTGTCGTACCACACTCGAAGACGGGTCTCCTATGTGCATTGTACGTGCAGACTTCTTCCTGCGCACGCAGTCCTCATATTTATCCCAGTGCTATACACTGGCTTCACCGGTGCAGCTGGCGTCGTTTGTCCCCCCGCCCCTCGACGCTCCTCCACCACTTCCAGAAGCCGTGCTTACGGTGTTTCCGGACGGGCATGCCTGCTTCGACCATATCCTATTGTCTGCATTAATTATCCAACGCAAGCTCGGGCTGGAGTTCTAGGCACATACATGCTGTTTTCCGCGTACATCTTTGCATGCAATTGTCTTTCTACTGTCGATCGAAATGCGAGAAGCACTATCGAAATTCAAGGGAAACAGAGTGGAGTCTTCATGGAGAAACGCAACTTGATCGTTCCGTTCGTGACAATTAGATTCCGAGACGCCAAAGACTAATGGCGTTGCGGAATCTAATTGTCGATCAACTCCTGCGGCCCTTTCGCCAAGGCAAGTCCATACATCATGTCCGAGAAACCACGGCTTACTTAACCTGCCTTATTATTATCACAGAGCTTTCGTGAACTCATTAATTCTGACATTACAATTGGGCTTCACCACGGGCGGGTGAACAGACAAGTGAGTGTACGACATCCACCGAGTCGGAGGCACAAGGAACGAGCCATCGTGACCGAGGAATGAACACACAATATCGGAGAGTCGCCGATGCGTACGAACAATAAAATGTGAGCTCGAATAGGAAATGTAAGCCCAGCAGTCGCGTGGAATTCCACATCTAACGCCTTCTAGCGAGTCCCTGCTTCAAATCTACTACTTACCTCCAACTACCGAGAAAACGAAGTAACGCGACTCTCATTTGTGCTCGTAGATATTCCAAGATGATCCTGCATCTCATTGGCCTGCAATCCTTGGCGTGGCACTGGTCTGCAGAATCATTCTTGAATTTGGGCGATATGAAGACAATTGGGAACCGGCCAGAATAGGCATTTTACAATTAGAGCGCGTCCCCGACGTGATGGCATCAACATTCCCTCTTTGCCCAAAACGGACAACGATGCACTATTATGTCCTTGGCCTGCAGGCACCGGGAGACTGAACCCGGATCACTCAGAGTAAGTGCCCCTACAAAAGCGATTCACAATGTGCATCCGGGCTATTGTACCGGAAATCTATAAATCGCGTCGGTGTTTTCAACTCCACCAACTTGAACTTGGTCGCCGCAGTTGCAAAGATCTCCACGCCGGTCTCTCCCCTTTCATTATCTATCCTACTCCCGCCATGCAACGCCCATCAGCTTCCAGACGCGCCGGACCGTCTAACTTCCAGCTCCCTCGCAGTCTTGTGCGGCCTTCGTTCACCGAGGTTTCGCGTGATGTCCTGCTCGCTGCGTCTCCAGATCTCGGCAACGTATCAGTCGAATTTATTCGCAAAAATCTGCTCGCAACCGCCCCTCAGTAAGCTCAATAATTTCCAATAGTTTCCTCGGTTTTCTTATTGCTTCGCGAATAGAATGCTGGCCGGCACTTCAGCTCTCTCTCCATCCCACCTTCCGAGCGCACTTCCAAAGACGAACCTCCCCCCGTACATCACCGTGCCCCTCTTCCCCTCGCGGGACCATATGCAGCCGACCTATCCGACTCATGCCCTCGCCATATCTGGTCCAGATGATATGCACCTCATCTTCCCTATCCACGCTCTGGTTCTCGCCGCCCATTGCTCCAAACTTCCCCGGCTCCCTCCCCCCGCCCCACGGCCACGGGCGTCCGGGTCTATCCATCTTCCCGTCTTGCCCCTCGCCCTTCCGTCCGCACCAGCCTTCTCCATCCTGCACGCATTCATGTACTCCAAGCGCCTCGATGCCGTCCTGA